GACTCTCACTATGAATGAATGAAATAAGTGTAAATTTAAGAGATAGTTTTCTTTATTAGAAAAATAATAATGAGGAATAACAGACAATTATGCCAAAAAAATTATAGGGAAAGTTATGTTTCCTGCCTGTCACTGTTTCCTGCAACGTTTCCTACAATGCTTCCTGTCAATGTTTCGTTGAATGTTTTCTACACTTGGAAGACGTGAGATGTCCTCGACAAGAAAAAGGTGGAGGAGAAAAGGAAAAAAAAGGCATGGAGGTTAAACAGACTCGCGTTTGGTTTACTACCCTGCATAAGTGAAAAAAGATTAACGAATGAAAAAAAATCAGTTAGGTGGGAGCTATTATGGTGGAACACTCCCGAAGTCCGGAACACGCATGTGGTCGATCACTAAAGCCTGCAAATTTTATGAGCAATAGTGGTGATGCGTACGTTTATCCTAGGAATTTTTCCCTAAGAAGCACGGGTAATCGAGCGTATCATATTTTTCTCACAGAAACACCTCCCTCCCATGTCTTGATGTGGGACAGGGGTCAGATACCAGGAATAACATGAGTTGTGTTACAACAAACATTTTTACCACAAAAACAAAACACACACACACACACACAAAGAAGCGTTCATAAATATTTTGTCGGTGAGTGTGTTGATCGGGCTGTCATGTGCTTTCACATATGCCATAGCACTGGAAAGGTCAGACCTGCGCAATCGTATCAGATTGTGTACTGTTATTCTCTAAGTCGACGCGGACAACATTCTGATAACGTTAGGTACCATGTTCGAAGAAAAGCGGTGGCATTTATTGGTGGGAGGGGCATCGAAGCTGTACGCTATTACGTTAGCCGTACGCATAGATGAGCGAACTCACTCGTGAGTAAACTCACTCGGACTCACTGAAACTCAAATTGAGTCGTATGTCTTCGACTTAGTGAGTCCAGGTGAGCAATAATTCTGTAAGCTTGAGTCCGAGTGAGTCTAGTTGAAGAAAATTTTGGTGAGTGTGAGTCAGAGTTCAGTCCGGATCAGGAAAAGTTTGGCGAGTCTGAGTCCGAGCGAGTCCAAAGCGCAATAAATGTTTATGGAGTGAATATGAGTGAGTTCCACTTTTATTAGCTGACCTATGGTCCTATGTAATCATCACCACCATTACTATCAACCTTATTTCTTAGCGCACTCATATGAAAGCCGTGACAATGTGGACCGTTGGCAGTGAGCAATATACAGAAATGCAAATAAATTTCTCAGAAACAGTCACCGTTGTGGAATATCTATTAAGGAGTCTCACTGCTGAGCTCAACAACGCTGCTTAAATTGCCATCTACGGAGATAATTTGACGGGAGACTTACGCAAACGTATCCTTGTACTTGCATTTGAGTGCACGTTAGGAACTCTAGGATGCCAAAATTAGTCCGGAGTCTCAGACTAAAGACTACCTCATGTTGATTTTGTCACGTAAAACCCCTAAAACTTTGTGCTCAGCTGAATGACAACCTAATGAATGTAATCTGTGAGACAGGTTTGGAGCGAAACATTTTCAAAAGTTCAGGAGCCATTTCATTTTGTAAAGTTGAGAGACCAGCCATGCTGTTCACCACTCGATATTGAGGTGACTCTGATTTCTCAAGAAACGTGCAAACTTATTCATATTCTAAATCTGCATGTAGGTTACGCCCAGGCTGACGAAGCGTGAGTACTGTCCTTCTATGGAGGCCAAACTAGATTGCAACCGTGCTTGGGCATGATGGGATCATTTAGGTGCGGAGTGCTTTAGGAGGGTGGGATGTCGTATGCTGTTGTCATCGCTTGGCATAACGCACTAAAAAAATGTGTCAAATTGAAGGGAAAGGAAGCAAGCTGAAAATAGAAAGACAGAAAGAAAAAGTTGCAACCAAACTATAAACAAACAGTAATGAAAAAGAAAAAGACAGAACAGACTGGGAACAACCAGAAACGATGAGAGGAGAAAAGAAAGAGAAAGCCGAAGAGAGAATCAAAAAGAATGCTGGCCAGCTCCAGATTTCATTCGCACCACTAGTGCCAAGCTGCTTGGCACTAGTGGTGCCAAAATTCTTTAACAAGCAAGTGTTGCGTACCGATATCGACCAAGACTTTACTGACGTGTTTCCGTCACGGACATGACGTTGTAAATGTATACCAATAGATCATCACGACAAAAACTGGAAGAAAAAAATCCGCCTCAGGAAACCGAACCCACAAGTCCTCCTTCCGCTGCACGTGGCACGAAAAAATTCGGCCGCAAAAGCTACGTTGTGCATCATACTAACGGCGAGCTATTCATATGCATCATTTACAGCTTGCGGCACGCATGCCTCGAAGGCTCTTGTTTCTGCTATCACCAGCGATATGGCGTGAACAGCATGAAGGGTGCTAATTAAAGGCCTGGCCAAATGTACCAGTTGTTTGCGCGTTGACACGTGTCTTTTTGACGTGGCGCCGAGCCTGCGATGAATGTGTGGGGTCAGGTCTTAAAGGTCGTCGCCCGCTCGTTGCTATATGCTTGTGCGTCGCCACCCGTCCTTGCCCTATACGACTGCGTAGCCCATGCGCGTGCGGTTATGTCACGTTAAAAGCGGTGTGGACCTCTTTTGCTTTCACAACAAGTTTACGTTGAAGATACAGAGTGCACGCAGGCGACTTCGCTCGCTGCAGCGGCTGCATTTGCTAACTGCATGAGCACACTGTTCAAACACAAAGTAGCAACTCCGACAGTTGTCAGTGCGCGCTTGTCCTGTGCGTGTTGGTTCCGTGCATTCTTTGTCCTTTAGCAGCTTGAGGCTAGCTTCGAGCTGATTGGAATATTCGCTTGACATTCAAATTCGTAGTTGTCGCGATTTTGTATCACCATTTTGGCAAAAACAAAACGAAATAGACACTCAACTAGCTCGGTAAATACTCGTTCCACTTTCGTGTTATACCTATCCGTATGATAGAGGGATCACGGATGTTTTTAGTGGCATTTGACAGCTTCTTGTCACTGCGTGTTCATCGAAAAGCATGTTTGATAACCAATTTTCGCAAAGCTAGAATTGCCCTGCAGCGCCGAAGTTTCCATGTGAGATTTACATATTCAGCCGAGGGCTTTTATTCCACCACCTCTAATGTCAATGATGCCCTTGTAGAAAGTATTCTTTTTCCGTATTTATTTTGTAGCGGGGGTAAAACACAGTCACAGGATTCATATATGTTCGCATTACGCATGTATAGGCTCTTGACATGTCAAAATCGGGCAATAAATATCGTAAAAAAGGTGTTTATAGCCTAATGAATAAAATATTTGCCATTGGAGCGCGTGGGCCCCGGTTCCAATCCAGTTAGAGCCAAATTTTTTTACTGGGTTTTATTTCTTGCTCTCGGTGAAAAATAGGAAAAATGCGCGGAAATTTTGGCATGTAAAGCTTCATGGCAACATAAATTTTTGGGTACCGCCACAGAAGGCTCAAGACAAGTTTTTCCGGCGCAACACACGTAGTAAGATGTTGATATCTCATATGCATCAAACGCTTGCCCCCTAATACTGGGTTAGCGAATGTTTGAACGCTACATCTTGAATAAGATTTGTGTTAACATTGCGTCATACACAAAAAGTCAATAAAACAGCGTGGTACGATTTTCCTTCTTTCTCAACACTTATTGGAAAAAATTTTCTGACTGACCTTCCTGGCTTTTACTTAACCTTTCTCTCTCTCTCATCGCTTCAAGGCCTGTTGGTGATGTAAAACAAACTAGCACGACAGCATCCCGCCTGTTCTAATACCACGCTGAATGCTAGTGTTTACTCTCCGTATACTGTGGCTTAATAAAACCCACAGCCGCATGTTGATCGAGACAAAATATCTTTGAAGGCAAGATTATGTATGTTGTCAAGAGCAAGTCTATGGAAACAGAAATGTATACTGCCTGAACTGAATTTTTTCACCGAATTGTGAGCGTCTGATGAAAACAGTGCATTACGACAGAGAGCTCTGCAGGACATCGTCACGTTAGCTTAATCCAGTATCACTCTTTATTTCGGTATTATATCTTTCATGCAACGGATTCTCTTGTGCAGCAGTATATGGAGCGACCTTGCAGGCGCTATAGTTTGGAATGAAGTGTGGTGAACTTGATTGATTTCGTTTTGTCTTCGTAAACTAGCACACTACCACTTGAAGTTTTTGGTGACTCAGTGTAGGCCGGCACGGCTTCATTTCACTAGTGAAGTATAAACATGACACTTTGACTGATGTATTTCATAACCACGCTTATTTCGATTCATCTCCGACCGCCTAGTCTACCCCCTCTTCTTACCAAAACAGGGCTGTTACATTGCTGTATTTTTCACTGCAAGAAGCATAACGACCCGTGTATAGAACTGTCACTCTGGCACAAGCGCTTAAATAACATACAAGGAAGGAAGACGACAACGTTGTCGTTGTGGGTTTAACTCGTGCTGCCTTACTGGCCTACAATAGTGTACAAAAATTATCTATTATAAAATACAGCGAGGCCAATCCCCCTTGTGGGTATGAGCCAAGATATTCTAGGCAACAAGAAAGACAAGACAATAGTGTGTGCTTTTCACGGCGTTAGCGAGATCCGCTATCGCCGAATAAAACTTCCCCATAACAATATTCCCTAAATAAGTAAGCCATCAGACACAAAGAATTAAGCTACACGAAAAAATGAACCCTCCAGCAGAGTAGAGCTTTCGAAATGTTTCTTAGTGGAAAACAGCGCAAAGCAATTCTAACGGCAAGTATTGGTCAAAAGACAAACGTGGAATTTTCACAATGCTTAGCGTAGTTGGCGTCAAGGCCGTGGTTGCCTTCCTTTGTCACTTCCTGCCTAGATTGTTTTGTGCTGTTGTCAAGGAACTTGCACAAAAGAAGAATCACGAACTGGGTCGGCCAACCATTCTTCTGTTTTTTAGTACGAATATGATATAATCTTGTAGCTGCTGACTGTAGATTATTTCTGAAATTCCCAGTAAGCATAAATGCACAGGCGTGCGTAAATGAAGTGGTTTTCGGCATTTCTCGTGCTTACAGTATATATCCATGGCTCCCAATGCTTTTTTGAATTCTTTCATCGTCATAAATCAAACGATGCTACGAATTCACAGGCTGGTAAGATGTCTAAAAGAACAGGTAGGTTTTATTGTCATCATTCGCTAAAATATTCCATCTTTCTTTCTAAGACATGCTGAAATATTAGGAAAATCAACACATGCATGTGAGAGCGCTTGTTGGGATAATGCTAAAACAGTGAGATGTCTCATGAAAGCGATCACTTTTGCTGAAACAACATAGACAACCATGTGTATGAGTACTTTGGTGAATGAAATATAACCTCAGAAGTACTGATCTTCACTAACGCGCAATGCTCGGCAGGGGGGTGTCATATCAACCACACGCGAAAACAATGGGAATTTGACAGGTCAGAGATTTTTGGGACTGGTACCTAAGCAACGTAAGATGTATTTCTAGTAATTGTTAGGGTTTAACGTTCCACACCACGATGGGATTATGAGAGACTCCATGGTGGAGGGATTCGGAAGTGTAGACCACCTGAGGCTCTTTAACGTGCGCCCAAATCTAAGTACACGAGCCTCAAGCTATTTCGCCACTATCGAAAATGTAGTTGCTGCCTCCGGGATTCGATCCCGTGACCTGCGGGTTCTCGCTTAAGCACCATAACCGTTAGACTATCGTGGTGGATAAAGAGCCTATTTAAGGTGCTTTTGTGTCCTACAGCAATATTTATCATTTTCCTTAATTGAAAACTGTAGGCGTCCTGTTAGCAATATTACAACTTGCTGATATCTGACACGCCGTTTATGAGCGAAATAGGCTGCATGGCATGCAGTCGGTGGGTATTATTGTGGGACACAAAAAAGCTTCGAGTACAGACTTCGTTTTAGGAATGAAGAGTCGCATAAAAGCATGGGCGCTGGTCCATATTTTTCACAGCACTTGCAGCATTTGATTGATTGATTGATTGGTTTGTGGGGTTTAACGTCCCAAAACTACCATATGATTATGAGAGACGCCGTAGTGGAGGGCTCCGGAAATTTCGACCACCTGGGGTTCTTTAACGTGCGCCCAAGTCTGAGCACACGGGCCTACATCATTTCCACCTCCATCGGAAATGCATACTTGCAGCATTCAAAATCATTAACTTATGGAAGCACAGCCTGACAGGAATAAGACGTAACAGTAGCCTAGTTCATAAGAGTATTATATCTTTTATAATTTACTGCCGTAAAGCGTGGATCAGTACAGAACGGTGGTCAACTTTAGAAGTTTGTTTTTTAGTTAGCGATGCCTGCGTGTCGCAACTTTAAAACACACTCACTTATTGCCAGCTGCTCTTGCATAATAGATTTATGTAAAGTGGCAGGAGAAAGCCTCCGGACAAAATGGAATGGTTGCTGCTGTGCCTGTACTATTCAGCTCGACTAAACTGTCGAGGTACATAATCCATTCAACAATAGACAGTCGCAGAGTTAAAATAGATGGCAGCATACTGGAGTCATAGGGAGCATATTTTTAATAATTTTTTTAAATTGCGATGCAAAGCGTTATGCGCCAGTGCAAGACATCCTGGGTCATGTAGTTCAGAATAGCGCCAAGAAAAGAGTCCAATTAACTACACCGCACAGGTGAGAACGGACAAATATGGAAGCATCATGTGATAATCAGATAAAACTACATCGACGGTGCCTCAGTATAATCAGCGGGTCAGTCTCGAAAGAGTTAGTCAGGGACGTCCAACCACTTGGCATCGCTATCAGTACTTGTCATCCACAAAATGGAAGAAACTGGAAAAAAAAACATCACAGCAGATCCACGGAGTGAATAATGTTGAGTGAGGCGAAGCGTCCTTCCATCAATCCGTCCGTGTGCCCATCCTTCCGTGCATGCGTCCATGCGTCCATTCGCGTTCGAGAATATAGACGGCACGCGGGTAACACCGACGAGACACGAGCCAAGGAAGCCGAGCGCAAGTGTCTTTAACGCACCCACCGCTCTGCTTCGTTCATGCCCCATCAACGATCTGCCACGTACAGCAACTATCCAGGAGGCTGAGAGTGGCACTCGTTCTTTTCGTACCCAGGCACAGACCGCGCAGCAGCTAATTGGAAATTAGTGGTACAGTGCCATCTAGAATATGCTCCCTCAACTGCAGTTTCTATGTACTTCTATGAGGCAGCGCCGTCTATTATAGGGTTCGGGAGATACTGCCTTCTTTTTTTTCTCGTCTCTTCTTATCTCGGTTACGCGTGACACATGACTGAGTCAGACTAAAGCGAGCTTCGCCCCTTAAAATGGGGGGATCCTTAAGATTCACCCTTAATATTTGAACGCAACAACAATATCCGGTCTCGTTAGTGCATAATTGAACCACTTAGCGCATATTTTATTCCATGTTACTTGAGAAGTTTAAACTGAGGATAACTACAATCTAATCAAAAACTCCCAAGCATTTCCTCGAGGGTGAACATGGCTAAGTGCGAATGCACGGGGTGATGCTATGAGGGGGAGTAAAGTTAAAATCCGTTGGCGACGTTGATATCGGTGTCAGTAACGCGCCTTATATCCAGATGGTAGCGTTGCCTCCGGGACATCCATCGCACGACCCGCTCTCGACTGGAGACTGAGAGAGAAGGCGGGCGCGCGAGAAAGAGGGGTGCGCGCGCAGCTGCAGCGAGCGAGGAGAGCGGAGGAGCGAGCGAAGGGGGAGGGGGACTATCAGCGTCGCGTCCGTGGCTTATTCGGTAGAGAGTCGCGCTGCGGCCCGCCAAGTCCTCTTTCTTTTAAAGATAGAGAGAAGACTGCGGACGCCGCCGACGGCGGTGGATGGTTTGGGGTCGCTTATAAAGTGTATTCACATTTAAAAGTTGAAAGTGACTCGTGTTAGTGAAGCTTTCGCATCGCATATGGCTCAATTCTGCGTAATGTGTAGCATGCCTCAAAAACCCCGAAATTTTACGCGTGAAATGTTTTTGAACCTGCCATGAGCCCACTGCGCAGTCGTAAGCTAATACGCGATGTATCGCGTGAGCCTTTTGCAGTGAATGGTCGCTTTAGAATTACGAGGTAGTTGCGATAACCTAAGCACGTGACTTAGATATGAAATAATGTTAGCTAAAAGAGCCCCCGTAGCACAGCCGAACTAACCGCTAACAGTTAAAACCATATGTTGAAATTCGCTTCCAAAGATAAATTGAAATTCTGCGCAATGATTATCCAATAATAAGCACCAACGAAAGTCAATTTCCAAAGTTCCAAGGGTCGTGTATCGCCACCATAAAAAATTTCAAGGACATGTTTGTGCATGTTACTGCAATGTAAGCCACCATTCTACAACCGACATAACACCTTGTTCTCTTCCAAGCTGTAAGACTTGCAAGCAACTTCAAGATGACGTTATAGTTAAAAGTGCCGAAAGTGATAACGTAGACCACATAATATTCAGCATTACGTGCACTGGCCCAAACGTTGTCTGCATCATCGAATGTACATATTGTCATAAACGGTACAGTGCCGAGACAGGACTGTATGTTAATATTAGCCCATATATGCCCAAACAAAGAAAACATAAAAAAACAAATATTTTTCGTTACAAAGAGGACACTGGCACTCTTAGCAAAAGGTACAGGTTATTTTATTTACACTCACTTCAAGACAACACTATTTTCAAAGCCGTCCCACATGTAGGACACTGGGCTTTAGGGGTGCTATGTGCGGGTGTGGTAGACCTTGAAGCACTTCACGTGCACACCCACGTCGCACTTCTCGCAACGAGTTGTTGTCTTCTCGTGGCAATAAGCGCACCTTGTCTGCTTGGCTTGAGGAATAACAATATGATCAGTGCGGTCAAAACGACTGACTGCTTGAATGGCGGACTGGCGGGCTTTTCCACGGGAGGGCTTGCATCCATATTTCTTCAGGTCGGCCATAGCAATAGACCTCCGAAAACAAAGATGCTCGATGTTCCCATTTTTCAGCTTATACAGCTGCAAAGCATTGTTCACGGATGCATCGAGAAGGTAGGTAAACAGAGATGAGTACCACTTTTTTCCTCTCATGGCCGTCCGGTATTTGGAGATGTTTTGGTCCATTCTGTCTACACCTCCCATGTTGGCATTGTATTTAGCAATCATTAACGGCTGGTTTACCGCAACTTTTGCCTTTTTTTCTCTAGAATATCGTTTCACCTGCTGCGTTGGCTCCGCTCCATGTGCATTTGAAACAACAGTAATAACACTATTGTCCACCCAACGGCACACAATTACTACACTCTCACTGTCCACTCTGTAATCGAATGTGCCTCGTTCTCTACCTTTCATACTCTTTTGTGCTGGAAGTGGACATTGTTCAATCCTGTTTTCACGGACAGTTCCAGTGCACTTCACGCCCAAAGTGGTGAGTTTTCGAACAAGCTTTAAGCTCGTGAAAAAATTGTCAAAAGACACGTAAAAACAAAGGTCAGTTTTAGACTTGAGCCTGCCAACCATGTCCACCACAACGGAACCTCCGAGACCAAGGTCATTTTTGCTTTCAGGGGCCACACCATATTTTCCTTGATAGGGCTCAGTTGACAACAAGTAGCCGAGAGGTGTGCATAGGCACCACAGCTTGTATCCAAATCGGATTGGTTTTCCTTTCAAGAACTGTTTACACCCGTGCTTTCCGAAATATTCACACATGCTTTCGTCGATGCTGTAGCATTCTTAAAGTGGTGCGTACAAAAGAAACTTCTGATTCAGAAGCTTGAATAATGGCCGCATCTTGGCAAATCTGTCATCCTGAGGCAGGTTGTTGTTGTCGGAAACATGCAGATTCGAAAATATTGCTTCGAAATGGTTACGCCTCATGGAGTTCGCAACAAGTTCGTTGTGGCAGTCTTCAGAAATTTCCCACAACATTCTCCGGCGAGGTACAGGCACGTACCCGCTAAGAAGAAGCACGCCTATGACACACTTCATTTCTTCTTCTGTCACTCCTAGGCTCCGATTTTTTTGGTCGGCATATCGGTTGATTTCCTTCACGAGAAGCGCAATGAAGTCGTCATGAAAGAATTTCTCGAATGCATCTGCGGGAGTGAGGAAACTTTCATCCTGTTCCTCTGCCAACCACTCACT